TGAACCCATTTGCTGTTTTTGCGCATAGGCCAGTTGAATTTCAGTTGAAAGCAACGCAAGACAGTCGCTCGTTCCTTTGCCTCTCCGAAATCCAAATTGCGTATCTGAAAGTAAACCATTCGACTCGACCCATTTGTCTAGACGAAAAAGAATCATTTTCTCCAACAATTTCCGTATACAGGACAACATCGCGATGGGACGGTACGAGTTATAATCCGACGCGGGTTTACCGGGTTTTCGAATGGCGATAACTCTTACTTGCCTCCAGTCATCCGGAACAATGTTGTGCTCCAGAAATTGATTGAATAAGTTCAACAAGCGTCTCTTCGCGACGTCTGGGAGATTTTTAAGCAAGTTGAACTTGATTCTATCCATTCCTGGAGCTGAATTGTTACATGAAAGGAGAGCAAGTGAGAATTCCACCATCGAAAACGGGGAATCTATTTCGTTATTACCCGACGGACGATCACGAACGTTGGTTTGAACCGACACCGAATCCGGGCAAACTTTCCGCGCGAAGCTGAATATCCAACTGTCCGAGTACTCCTTGTCTTCGTTAATCGGTGATGACGCGTTTCGCATTCTCCTGCCGACATTCCAGAGTGTTCTCATGGAAGTCTCTCGCGACAAACCATCGACGAACCGACGCCAGTAACCGCGTTTTTTGGCTTTAGTCAAGCCCTTAAAGGTTTTCTCGAGGTCGGTGTACCGCTCGAAATCCTCGACCTTACCGTGTTTGCGGAAGCGTTTAAACGCGGCGGACTTCTCGCTGTTCGCGTCGGTGCATTCCTTATCCCACCACGGGGTGGGAGGTCGCTTCCGAACGGAAACACCCGGAATACGTTTCGTCTGTGCTCGCAGCGCGCAATCGATGATGACACGCGCGAGAAAGGAGTACTCGTCCAGCGGAGGAAGTACGTCAACCGATTGACTGGCATCAAGAACCGAGGTCGCGAATTTTCGCCAGTCAATGTTTTTCGTAAGATCGTACGCGATGTCGACCGAGCGTGTAGTAGATGAACCATTGGTAATAGAAATTTTGATTGGCAAATGGTCACTACCGTAGGGATCTTGAATTACTTTCCACGAGCAATCCAATGATAGTGAACTCGAACAAAGTGAGAGGTCTAATCTGCTTATTTTTGCTGGTGGTTTGGCTACTCGTGTTGCTTCCCCGGTGTTCAGAATTGTCATTTTGAAGAAGTCGCACATGTCGTATATCAAGGTTGAGCGGTTGTCGTCGTACAGTTCCCCCCAGCCTGTACCGTGAGAGTTAAAATCTCCCAAGATCAACCGTGGCTCCGGCATAGCCGTGCAGATATCCGAGAAACTTTGACGAGAAATCGCAGTTCGCGGTGGAAGATATACTGAGGCAATACTGAGGCATTTACCTCGAATATTAACCTGACAGGCAACAACTTCAATGCCTGTCACCGAAGGCAGATCGATTCTGTAGAAGGAATGGAGCTTGTTGATCCCCAGAAGCACCCCTCCATACGAATCTGCCCGATCAAGGCGAATAATGTTGAAATCGTGGAAAGCAAGATCGTTGTCTGAAGAGAGCCATGTTTCACAAAGGGCAAATGCATCAGAAAGTAAATTGTTAACTAAAAATTTAAATGTGTCAAGTTTTGGCATAAGACTTCTACAGTTCCACTGAAGAACAGAGATCATATCCCCGACCTCATTCGGAGAATTATCCATCAAAGGATATGATCGATGCAAGGAAGGACCACCTAGAAGCTAGTTGCTTCAAAAGAGTTTTCACCATTGGCAGCACTAAATTAATAATGCTCCTCGTTGAGTCAGAGATATTGAATATACTGAAGAAGCTATCCACAATACCAGAAAACGTGAACATGGGGGCATGTTCTTGCTGATTATTCAGCTGATTTTCTGGACGAAAAACTGGGACATCTGGGGTTTTAGATGATCCTGGAAGTGACGGAAAGTTCTTGTCATAATTACAAGTTTGAAAACCCGGTGGAATGGGCTTCGGTGCATTTCCGTTACCTCTTGATTTTTCCAAGGTGGAAGGGTGGTCCGTACGAGTGGCCTTACGAGGCTTTTCGGTGTTGTGTTTTTTTGCTCGTTTTCTCGTATTGCCTTTAAAGACAAACGGACTACCCTCACCGACCTCTGAGTCAGAGTCTAGACCATCAACTGGCAAAATGGAGAACGTGTTACTGCTTTTTGGTGTGGTCTGAGAAGATGAAGCGGTATTCTTCAAGAGTTCTGCTAGTGTTCTCTTGGAGCGAGCTTGCAGAGACCGCTTAAGTTTTTCTCCCTGCTGTTTGTACCTCGGGCAGTCAGTCAGGGTATGCAGGCTTTCCTTGCAGTACACGCATTTTTGAGGAGCAGCGCAAGGGCCCTCTTGATGTTGCTCGCCACACTGATCACAGCGTGGTTTGTTCGAGCAGTAGTCCGATGTATGACCAAGTTGTTTACATTTCGAGCAGTTCATTACCCGAGGTACAAACAGACGTACAGGTAGCCGAACCTTGCCAATAGCGACGTAGTGAGGTAAAGCTGAACCCGAAAAGGTCACACGAAACGAGTTTGACAAGGAATAAGTTTTTTTGGAGCCTACTACGGATACTGACTGCATTTGAAGGCAGTCCAATATCTTCACCTTCGGCAGAGCACGGTTTTTAAAGATTCCGAAGGAATCGGGACCCAAGAAATCGTCACTAGTCAAACTCGCTTCGGTGACCACTCCTTCAATTTCTACCTCACTACTGGGTATGTAGACTCGGTATTCCAATGAAAAGAGCTCGCACGCAACAATTTGGTTAGCCTGCTTCCGGTCATCAACGGTAACGCGCAGTTTTATTGGTGTTACCTTGAAAATATCGGTAACGGCCGAAAAATGTGTTGTTAGATCCTTAGAGATCCTCGGAATGTTCAAAGGTTTTTGTTTGGGCCGGAAAAAAACAACCCATGGGCCTTTCGAAGCTTCTGGGTAAGCCTTTAGGCGGGGGAGCGCAGAGGTTTTCGGGGGCAATGGTGTGGGGGGTGCAGGTGGGCGAGGAGGAGATGGTGGGGGAGAGGGTTGTGGGCGATATCTTTTCTTGGGATATGCTCCAGTATTTTTGCTGGAGAGCGAGTCAAATGGAACGTCAAGGGTTTCCATTTCCACAACTTCCTCGAGACTTTCGTGTGAGGTGGAATTAAGAGTTTCGTCGTCTGAGATGGAAAGCGACCATCCCCCGCCTTTATCATTTTCATCCATTGCGGTTAAATATCGCCGCAATGGTGTTTTTAATAAATATTTTTCAAATAATTACAAAAATTTCAAATAGTATCAAAAATAAAAAAAAATAAATGCAAAAAAAAAAATAATAAATAAATAAAAAAATACAAAAAAAATGATATAGTTTTACTCTACTAAAGAGTAACACAAAAGAAAGAAGAAAAAAAAAACAAGAAAAAGAAAAAAAATATATATACCAAAAAAATTTTTTTGGATCACCCTAACTATGCTCTACTTAAAAATAGTACGAGAAAAAAAAAAAAATCAAGAAAAAAAAATATGGATATATACTATTTACAAAATTTTGGATCACCCTAATTATGACCCAACCTAATCTAATATGTATTGGACCATGCGGGGAGATGCGATACTGGTGAAAACAAAGCGACACGTTATACCTATTGCACTGAGGCAGCAGATGACTGGTGCGATGCTATTGTTCGCCCCAACGGCTGTTGGGTCGATACCCTTGTAGCTGGTATGCCTCGGTCGCCTCGGTAGGCAATTTAACGTGCTTTCGTTGTTGCTTCAATGGGATGATGTGATGATGCGATGATGATGAGTTAAAGCTGGACCGTAATCAAAGCGCTCGGCGTATGACTAACGGCTTCCTCACTCGCGCACTAGTTGTCTTAACACTATGCCAACTAACTTTGGCGAGAAAAAACCCTCGCGTGGGGAAAAACTCAAAAACTCAAATACTAGTGTCGTACAACGAGACCGATGCGACTTGAAATAGGAGGATGATCTTGAAACAAGGCAAAAACGAGCTAGTTAGTCTTAACCTCTGTGATTCCTAATCTTCTATTCGTTGTTCCTTAGTTAGAAGTGGTTGACTAGGCTACTGATGCATGGACATTGTCGGTGTCATTGCTTAATTTTGTAGCTAAGGAATTCGATTTTGACTGACAAAGGGCGCTCCTTTGGAGGGTGCTCTCACTCTTCGAAGGGTATAAATAGCGGTAGCTTTCAATTAGAATAGAATCCTTGCGATTAAGGCAAGAATGACAACTGTATCAAAATCGATTACTTCATAATTTCTCAATAGTGATGGATTAATACGACACGCACTAAACTAAGGACACGGGATATACTACAATGGATCAAATTACTGGTCGCAGTGGTTTTATGCTCGAGCAGAGGAAAAACAAGTATTTTAATCATGGATAGTACTCAAACGTAAAGTGAAACAATAATGCAATCCTATGCCAATATTGAAAAACAACCCCTTCTTCGAGTGCGAGTCAATCGAAACAAAAATGACGGCGGAAAAATTTACTAGGTACCCCCACAACAAACCCTCTATGCATGCTAATGATCGTCAACCGACACAGAGAAGCACGCACGTGGTTGCGTGCTTGCGACTGTGTGTAAGCTTCCGATCATCATCGATCGATGCTGCAGCTGGAGGACCGCACGTGAGAGAAGCGAAGGCGTATGTTGATGAGTATTGGAATTTTACTCTCACTCTCATTCGACTGCGGCTGGTGGCGTTGGCGATCTTACGTCCTATATTACAAAACCCATAAGCAAGAGGCGACGACGACGTAAGGTAAAGTTAAATGCAAATGTCACGTTACGACGTCCGTCGTGGTCGGAGATTGTGCAATAGGGGAAACAGCGCTTGACAAGCGGTTAGACGACATTTTTGCTCTTATTTTTTGCGTGTTAAGATCTTGGGCATTATGTGGGTTTAGGCTATGGGTGGCAGTACTAAAAGACAACGGTTGAAGGTTAAAACACTCACATGACGCAGCATCAAAGGCGAATAGCAGCAGCAGCAGCGGAGTTAATCCAGTAAATCGTAACAGGATCTTCATTTTGACTTCATCGAGGCTACACAGTTGGGTGGGGTGGGAGAGTTTCGGCTTCGTTGTTTGATCAATCCAGGGGATCACAACCTCAATTCGTGCAAATTGTAACACAGAAAAATAAATCTCTTTTGTACCAAATTTGGTTTGAGTTCAAACAATCTTCAGCATTTCCGCCAAAAAAAAAAAAAAAACGAAAATGATGCTATCTTCTCTACTTCCACGCCACTTGATTGCTTTGGTGTATTTTACTCTTCCACACACAATAGCTCAGCCAAAGGTAATCATCTCCTACTTTTTCGCACAAAAGAGGTTGTGATTGTCGAGCAATTGTTGGTATTTTTATTTCTTATATTTTTGCACTTTCAATGCTGCTCAAGATTCAGCCTTGAACACAGTCGCGTACACGGTTTCAATATGTACACTCATACGAGCACCGTCTGCTGCTGCGCATAGTTTTACACGTTCGATATATTAAAAAGAGCACGCGATCACACCTTGCTTGCTGTCCGATCCAAACACCACCTTTTATTATGATGTTGAAGGGGGTATCCAATATGATCGACCACGGAACGACTGACTCTCTAGCCTTCTACAGTGTTAACCCGACGAGCTCGAAAATACGACTGATCGGATTGCGCTCTTCGCCTTGGCATGCACAGTGGGTCCTCGGAATTCACTTTAAGGTGGTGGAAGCAAGCACACATACGGCTCAGACCCACCAACTAACGTCAGTCGCCCCCCGCGCCCGCGTATGTATGTATGACCCTGTTTGTTTATGCACAAAAAACTCTCTCTTTTCATATTGGTGGTTGCGGCTGGTCGATGTTCGTAGCAATGGGAAAAACAAGGCGCGCGCGATCGCGAATCGAGCTGATCTCTCTTGAATCGAGATCTTGCGCTCTTTTTGTGGGTCTCACACCATTCATTCAGCCAATACGAATGCACTCGGACGTCGCTGATCGGTTGGATATCCTCGGCGTTCAATAATGTAATGCATGCAACCCCGACGACGATCTCTCATGGCGAGACTTGACCTATACCACTGCATCCAATTCCTTATTCAAGAGAGCTATTATGCTAACCCATGATGCTCATCCTTAGCGAAGCATCGATCCCACGCCCAGCATGGAGAGGTCGGTCGGGTCGGCGGTTGCATTAAGATCGCCGTCAGTTCAATCCGTTGCGATGATGAAACAATGAATGGGAAAATGTGAATGGAAAATGCAACAACAGTGCAACCTACCCATTCAGACAGCTGGTAGACTTTGAACCAGTCGTCAAGTTTCATGACAAGGGAGGTCGGCAAGTAAGTTTTCCCAGCATTGTTCCTCCCTTATCGTACTCACTGCGCTTCCCTACCCTGGGTGGGTTTGTAGGTTTCTTGACGGACACATGCAAAACAAAAATGCTCGTATGCATGTGGTGCGATCGTCGGTGAATCAGATGCTTGCATGAGATGTTTGTGAGATTTATGCTGCTGTCTGACCATGACATATTGCGCAATAGTTGTGACTATAATAATTAGTAAACAGTGTGTGATTGTGTTTGTCTTATTGCCTTTTGTTTTAGACATATTGGGAACACCTTAGCTCAAAATTGAAGTTAATAGAAGTTGTTTTTAATTAGATTTCTACAGTTTTGGAAATCTACTTGATGCATAACATTTGTTCAGATTGATTTTTCCGACAATTGCGTTACATAATATGAATATTAGGGTGGCTCAACAGCTCAAATCGGTTCTAAGAGGAAGCGACTTTTTCACACAAGCAGCTCATAGGAAACTCGCTTCGTTCGACGTCCATAATGAGGTCCCAGGTATTGATAATTCTTTCAAAATTTGAGCCCATTTGGTTGTGATCACACTGGAGCTTTGCAATTTTATATGGGAATTACTATACGAAAACTAAATTTTTTCTTGATCTCGTCATCGGTTTTTTCGTGTCTGCTGTACAACATCGCTTTGGAAGGTGCGATCAGTAGAGCGGAAGTAGGTACTAGTGATACGATATTCAGGAAATCCGTTCAACTTCTTGACTTCGCCGTTGACATCGACATCATGCCATGGAACTTTGAGACGATTTCGGAAACGTAGAGTCGACTGAAGGCTGAACCCAACCGATCGGAAGCGATTAAAAGAAATCCTAAGTTCGGCATCTCGCATATTTCTTTTCGTATTGTGAATTAGTTTTTCATCAAATTTTCATCATACTAAGCAAAACCCGCGCTTTATCACTCTATTTCGAATAGATATGAACGATAAGATTCTACTTTAGATGACTACATATGGGCATATGTGAATTTTGGAAAAATCTGAGAAGTAGAACCAACATTTTCCGGGCCGTTAGTTTTTTGGACATCTCAAAAACGGTAAGAGACACTTCTCTGAAATGATCACCAGTGAAAGATTAGCAGTTTTCATGCAAAAAAAATCATTAGAAACATTTCCATTACTGTGGCATTGGTTTTTTCCAGATTTTCTTTGAAATTACCCTCCACCGTAAAATTTTTTGTTAACAACATTTTTCAGATAATATTTTTTTATGAATTGCTGAGATAATTTCCTTATCATTTCAATGCTCTCTTTACGTTGGTTATGTTTTTAAAAGTACGTGATGTCCGGGAAAATCCCAACGAAAATTTCCCGGGAAACTAACCACCCTGATTTTTTTTATTTTTTTTCCTTTGTACCTGTAGGCAAAAGTTCATAACATTTGGAGTCCCTTCGTCCGATAGTAAAACAAAAAATCCCCACCACAGATAAACAGACATAACGCTCGCATGTTGTTTATCGGTCGATTGAAATGTTTCTTAGTTGCCTGCAAACTTAGTCTAGTCGACTCAATTTTGGCAAAACTGGATTTACTCAAAAGTGAGTTGAATTTTTCAGGCATATGCCATGTTTCCAGGAAAAAATTCTCGAATATGAGGATAATCCATGGAAATTTTACTCAGTCTACTAAAAAACTGAGTTAAACTTCTTATGATTTTCCTCATATTTGAGAAGTTTTTCCTGGAAAAGCCTGGAAAATTCAAGACACTTTCGAGTAAATCCACTTTTGTCAAAATTTACTAAACTTTGAGTCGCTCTGAACGATTGTGTTTGTCCAGGAAATAATACCGAATATGAGAAAAGTAATGATTGGACTCACTCAGTATATTGGTACTACTCCTAGACTTAGTAAAATTTCCGTAAATTTTCCCCATTTTCCGGCAGATTTTTGTGATTTTCCACAGAAAATCATAAGGCAAATCTACTCATCGCTGAGCTCCTGCACTTTTGGCGATTATGAGTAAACCAAACTTAAATTTGGGTCGTTCTCATTGGCCGTGTGTACTTTTCTGTTGTACAATGGGAAATGTGCTGGCAAAAATCTCGATTGAATCCTTCCAGAAAGGTCATTCCATAGGAATTGTGTTTTCTGAAACAAAAACGGCAATCACAAACTTATACCTTGTACAGACATACAAAGTACACTGTTGTACCAACAATCAATACGAAACTAACGATTTTAAATTGGCTCACCACTTTAGTAGCCTATTGGTCCCAAGCAAACGATTAACGTACCCTATTCTAGTTGAAATTCTATTACTACACTATGTTTGTTTTGATTCGCTATGAAAGTTTGACAGATAACATCAGGGGTGTGTGGATTCATGCAGAACATGCAGGGGTGAGTGAAATAGCTTGGGACTGCTTGGGACCGTTGTTCTGGTACTGAGTGAGCCAAAAATAATAATGATTTTCTTCGGGACCCAGTGGTCTTAGAGTTACCTCTATGCTAATACCATAGAGGTAACTCTAAGACTAGAAGGTTCTGAAATAACGTGCTCAACTTTTTGGCTCAGCTCTGGTACTCTCTTCGGTCCCAAGCTAATCGATTCACCCCTCGAAACATAGGAAAATCCACTAACCCCTCATTTTATCTGTCAAACTTTCATAGTGAATCAAAACAAACATAGTGTAGTACTAGAATTTCGACTAGAATGGGGCACGTTAATCGTTTGCTTGGGACCAATAGGCTAGTCAAGTAGTGAGCCAATTTAAAATCGTTAGTTTCGTATTGATTGTTGGTTGTACTACCGTTGTATTTCTTTAAGCTAGTACCTCAAATTGTACCTTTTGAGGTACTCGATTAAAGGAGTACAACGGTACTGCTTTGTATGTCTGTCAATGGTATTAAATACAATATGCTCTTTTCATGCACCATCAATGTAGAGTGCGCTAGCCGATTTTGAGAGGAAATGTCATCTAATTCATCTGTTTACATTATAATGATGATTTTCAAAACTCAAAATGATGTACATTTTGTTGCACAACTTACAAATTTCCATCGGGAGTGGTCTTATTTTCCGATTATCTACAGATCTGAACTGATTTACAGCTGAAATAACCACACATTTAAAATCCGGAAGATCATAACCGCTGGAACAATTTTATAAATCTTAATTTTTCTCATCAAAAATATATGGAAGCATCAGTCGGATCACTGAAAACCCGATACAGAAAACAAAATATTCCATGTGGCTGATGATTTCATTATGATGTAAACTAAAGACGCTGAACTTATAAAGAGACAACATGTCAAAATTAGAACAATCGATTATCTGTCAAAGTCATAGGAAAAGTCATTCCAATCGAACAGATGACCTGTCAAATGGATTAGATGTCGCCTTTTCAGTCTCTTTAATGTAAACAAATGGATTGGATGACATTGCCTCTCAAAATCGGCTAGCGCACTCTACATTGGGGGTGCATGAAAAGAGCCTATTCATGTGCCACTCCTGCTGTCGGATGCATTTAAAATGGCTCAACTTGACATTTTATAATGCACAAATTTGACAGATAAGTGTCCGGTAACTGAAATTCTTTCCAGTTAGCGAACTTTCAGTTAAAAGACGTTTCAGTTAAAATAGAGATGAACTAGCCTAAGGCTAAAAATCTCTTAAATAAAGAAAAAAAAAAAAAAAAAAAAAGTTTCAGTTAAAAGTCTTTCAATGGATGACATCATTCGATC